TGTCATTACAAGTATAGCTGTTATTATTTTTGATAGGATGTAAATGTAAAGATTATATGATCCTAGTTATCCCTGTTACAAAAATCCACAACGAAAAGAAAATAATTGGGCAGAAACTGCACATAAGCTGGATGCTGATGGGGATTTTTTTAATATGTCACATTAAATTAAGCATTCATTTCCGCATGTTTTGCTCCTATGAATTTAATAATAATATCGTGCACGCTCTCCTCGAGCTCTGAGGAAGTGGGAGCAGAGGAAGACGGGAGGAACAGCGGAGGCTGTAGGCTTTGCTTTGTGCAGGCGGTCTGGAGCGCTGCAGGTTGTTAACAAGGATGTGGGATTTCGGGGTAACACTGGGCAGCAGCGTCCAGTCGACTGTGATAACGAACTTCCTCGTCTGTTTTAAAAGTGGTGCAGTCTGCTCCTTCTCTGAGTGGCTCAGGTTATCCTGAGCTATCTCTTTAGTAATGCTGCTATAGGCTTAGACTGCTGGAGGACATAGGGACCCTTTTTTCATCATTCTGCTTCATTCTATCTCTATTCTCCCACTCTGTAGAATCTGTTAGTTCAATCTCTAATGTTCTGCTCTGTGACTCCATCCCGGAGAGAAACATGTGCTGCTGCCATCAAGGCCTTTGTTTATAGATGTTGGAGATTGGCCTGTTTTTCCAGTGTAGTCCTGTTTCTCTGACTGTGACTGGCTGGATGTGCTCTCTTCATTCTCTGACAAGGGAGCTGGCTCGGTGCTCGTCTGACTGGCTGTGCGTTTCCTGGACGGGGTCGCCTTTTACAGCTGCTTTTTGTATCTCTGCTTTTGTCTCCTTGAACCCCAGTCGGCCTCAGCAGATGGCTGCTCATACTTCTTTCTGTTAAAGCCGGGCATACACTGTGCAATTTTTTTTTTAATCGTTGCACGTAGCTACTGCTTACACTGTACGATAATCGCATTAGTCCTACAGTGTGCGTTCACAGCTCACGATTTATGTTAAGCCCGACGCTCTGATGCGATCTCCCTGCTCACACTGCACGACTAAAAACCACGTCGGACTCAGCTCCGCAGTGAGATGGAGCTGCGCGGACTCGTCTATCTGGAAGCCAAACAAATAGAAGAGGAATATGAAGCTCACTATAGTGAAACGCGCTTCCTTGGCAATTTGTGCAATTTTGTGCTGAAAGCCCTAAAAAGAAACGGCGACATATTTGGACAAAGACATGGCTGAGCAAACGTGGCTACTAGTGTCTGTCAATTTTACAGAAAGAACTCCATTTCAATCATTGCATCCCTGCCTTGCTGCAGTGTTTACATCTGAGTGGAAAAATAAAAATCCTTCTTTGCACATGCACCCTGAGCAATTTGCCCACGACGGTCGGGAGAATATCAAACATGTTTGATTTGACCTCACAATTCCTGAGCGGGAGGTGATCATGAGAGGCTGATCCCCGCTCGTAACCCCCTGTACACTACACGACTCACGATCAGGCTGAAAGTTGGCCCGATCAAAAGATTCTCGCATGACTGGAAAATTTATTTTTTCCTCTCCACTGTCGCTACAAGCATGCTTAGTTTGAGGGATTGCATTGGAGTCAATTAGTCGATGCAATCAACCGGTTTTCCTTAGATAGAAAACTTTTAACCAATCTGACTGGATGATCTGGTGAACTGTAAAGTGCCTTAGATGATGTGTTGTTAATTGGTGCTATAGAAATAAACTGAATTGAATTGAATCTATACGTTAACAGCTGTTTCTGTGTGCAGCATGCTCACACACTCTTTCTACCATAGTAAAAGTTTATATGAAACGTTTTCCCCCCTCATTCATAAAACTTTAAAATCGTGAACATTTCCGGGAACAGGTGGTAGAAAATGGGGACTGTCCCTGGAAATCGGGGACATCTGGTCACCCTACTTTAAAAAGCTTTCTAATGGATGCCAGTCTCATATCTGGGTTGGCTGACTACTTATCATTTAAAGTCCTGACAGATCAAAGGAATTACTGCTGCCAACCAAATGCCCACCTTAGGTTACCTGATTCTTATGTCAGTAATCTAAGGGAGTGGTGTTCTGTCAGGTGAGCATACCCGATCAGGCCAGCATACCCATAGTCAATACCCATTTATCCCTTTAGTTTTGTACGAAAAATACTCTTAAAGCTCCCTCAACGGGCGTGTATCCCTTTAGTCATGTTCAAAAAAAACATTTAATGACTTACTTTTTGGTGTTTTATTGAAGGATATGGCAATCTGACCTTAAATTGTTTTTTTTCTCTTTTTTTTGTACATGAATAAATGGACACACGCCCAGAAGGGGAGAATAGAGATAAAATGAATGAACATATCATGTCCTGCTTTCTTCATATAAGACGCACCCCAAATCCATCTGCTATATATTGTTAGGTGAGGGAGGAGCTATAACATTCTAAAAACACACTGTAAATTGTAGAAATCATGCTTTGATAATTTATATTCTAATCTTCTGTAAAGTAGTGTTTCACAACTGGGGGTACACATACCCCTAGTGGTCCACCAGGGCATTGCAAGAGGCAAATATTTTATTTCTTATGTAGTAAAATAAAGCAGGGCTGGGATTTGTTTTGCTTTGTGAGGACCCAGTTGAAAAAAAATAAGCAAGCATTTATTAAACAATAATTAAGTTTTTATTATATGTTTGAGTCTTCAGCTTTGACATACATCAAACCAAGCAGAGGAAAAGGCTGGATGTAGAGAACATCCTGGGATCTGCTGTTTCTCTGAGCTATCGGAGCTCATCAAAGCAGCTCAGGTGTTTTGATAAAAACAAACTCAAACTAATCAAGTCCGTCTGACTATAATTTTTGTTATGTTGTATTTTTATTCCCAGTTCATAAAGTTTAAATGCGATTATAAAGGAATTACTCAGAGGAGCTCTAGTTTTATAAATATTCAGGGTTTCTGTTGGTCATTAAAAATCATTAATTAATTAATTCTTATTTTTTTAAATTAAGGCCTTAACTGGCATTAAAATTCATTATTAATTTCACAGAACCCTCATCTATCCTCCTTTTGTTTGTTTATTGCCTGCAACTCTTCTTACCGGTTTCTGCCTGTATATTTATGCCCCCACTCCCCCAGACCAGCAGTGGGGCGTAGCACTGGACTTATTTTTTCTAGTTTATCTTCATAATTATATTTCTATTAACACAACATTTTTTTGCCTGCAACAATAATGGAATAAAATTTCACTCCATACAGGGTTTGCTTTTTCAGACATGGCGTTAGGTTGCTTTTATTTTGAATCCAGTGTAATTCAAAAGTGAAATTCCACATGAACCAGCAGAGAAGTTTGTGAGTTGATGACAGTGCAGAAAATGATAACTTTATAACATATTGTTTTGGGTCTTAATGACAATCATTAACTAAAGTTTTTATCTCAGTGAGAAATGGAACATTGCTAAATATGATAACACAAACCTGGAGCAGTAAAACAGCAGACTATTAATGAGGGTCACCCTCCTAGATTTAACCACATCCTCCAGGCTCTCTCTCCTGCAGTTGGTTGCTGCTTTAGCTTTATGTTTTTGCTGAG